CTGCTGAAAGCTAAGACTAGAAGATTACAATGGCCTCTTCTAGGCTCACTCTGTGTCTGTGTGCATAAGTAAAAATAAATCTAGGAAAAGTTACAAAGGAAGATAAGAAAGCTCAGCATGACAACTGGGGCATGACTCCTGGGAGATTTCAATAATTCAGATGTTTGCCAGGTCTTTCTCAACACAAAAGGATGGAAAGGGAAACAAGCTCTTGTGCTATACTTCAGTCCTCCAAGGAAGCAGAAAGGGCAGCAAACAAAGGGAGGAGAGAATTGAGAGTCACAAAATGCAAGTTTAGGTCTTTAAATCATTAAGTTATATCCAGACACAGACACAAATCCATTTCCGTGAATTCAAAATATAAGAAGTATGACAGACAAAAACACCCCCACAAAACCAAACCCGAAACAATCAGACATGTCGCTTAAGAAGGGGTTAAGAGAATCGGAGAGAATGAATCAGAGAATGAAAATGCAGTCTGCATCCCAGTAGAAATCTGAAGAAGTTTTATTTGGAATAGTGGAGAGATCAAAGTGGCTAAAGAGAGAATTAAAAAGAATTAAACAGAAACAAGGTGTTATTTAAGGATTTTTTTTTAAGGAAAAAATTAGTCTTAGAACAGACATAACTGGACAGAATTATTCACTCTAAAGCCTAAGAAATTTAAAGCAACAAGCGAGACCTAATTCAACAGGCTTGAAGCTTGAGAGGCATACAGGAGACGTAGCTAGGTGAAGTAAGACTTGAAACATTTTGTATGCTTGTAGATAAGAGATTTGAAAAGAGGCTAAAAGGCTCAAATGAAGAAAGACAGTTTCATCTATACATCATCACCACACATCCCATCAGTATTTAATGACATCTGGGAGCCGAGATAGCACTGTTGGGAAGAGATTCACTCCATGACACAGGGAATACACAAGCATACACATTGAAAAAGAGGAAAATGGCAGAACAAGAGGGAGAGAGGCATAAAAAACTAGGTAAAGAGACTGTATTAAAAGGCTTCTCCTAAACATGATCTCCCAGAAACACTGGTCAGCTCTTGTTTTTAGCATCTTTCAGTGTTTATACACTATTTTGGATAAGGCCTCAATGCACTACTACACAACTTTCTTCTTGCACCTTTCCCTAAGGAGTAATAGCATGCAATAACTTTCTCACATTTACAGATTGTGAGAAATGTGAGAAGGCTTAGATCAGAGCCCAGAGTTCTCAATGGACATCAGATTTCTTAACAGGCTTATTTTATTGCAGCAATAGAATCTCCCCCCCCCCCCCCCCCATTTCCCTCCCCTTTAAAATAAAACCTCGCAATGATGCTTCCAAAATGATGTGATGATGGATTTATACTTGTCTGATACTCTGGCTTGCTGTCTAAGTAAGCCAGCTCAGGACCCCTGCCCAGCTCTGTGCATCGGGCAGCAAGTTCACCTCCCCTCATGTCTCTTCCAAGCCTTCTCTGTCTCAGTTTCCCCAGCTGGACATTAGCTTTCTGTGGTCCAAACCCGTGAAGCTGTCTGTGTTATACACTGCCCTTCTAATCCCTCTTTGTGGATGTCTAATGAAAAATCACATGTAGGTACCAAAAGAACAGGGTAGGAAACCCACTTGACAGCACTAATGACAGGAGTTAAGTAGTAGGTCCCAACAGGCAGAGTAATTTAGGCAAAGTGGCAACTTACGCAACCACAGAACTGAAAAAAAAAATCCAAGAGATCCTGACAGAACTGAACAGAGAATGTTAAGTCTTTTAAATTTATTGTTTCAGATGGGCAGCACTGCTTAAGTTTCTTGGGTTATATTTTTTGCAGGTCTTTCTCAGCAATCACAAGGACAATAAAGTCATTTTTTCATTGAAACCTTTTTCCTTTTCTGCTAATATATGCCCTAATTCAGCAGAGGCCTAAAGAAGTGGCTGTGTTTACAAATACTCAAGAAATAGCTTCTGTTCATACACAAAAACATCCTGAGAACAAAGACGGTGGAAAGAAATTATAATAGATGTGCTTGTTAAAGAAAAGTGGTTTTGTTTTTGTTTTTAAAGAATATTATTCAAAGGTCTACTTAAGACATTACATGGCATTTTTTTGTCACTACACAAAACCAGTCTTTACATGATGTGGTGAACCACTGTAATTAGTTTCAGAAGTCAAACTTGTGCAGTTCTGCTGTAGTAACTGTTTCCAGATGGAGAAGACAAAAATCAGTTCAAGAGAGGCACTATAAATAACTAAACCGAATAATACGAAACGTCAACTGTATTTCAGAAGTCACAAATTATACTGCTAGCAGAAGTATTAATGGGAGATAAAATAAAACTTCCCAAACAAATTTTTTTTCCAAGTCTGAATGGAAGGAAAAATTCTCCATCTCCTCTAGCCCCCAAAACGCATTTATAATCTTGCCTTGGCAGTAAAAGAATGTAAAAAGTAACAGGACACTGCTCACCCCTCCATCAGATCCTCCCAAGGACAGTCCCCTCTCTGCTATTCTGCAGGCAAAACAATAACCTCAGGTGAGAACTGAAGTCTGATTACTTTGTCCTTTAATGTCATTATTTACATGTAACTCTTCAGTAAGTGTTATTTGATGCATCAGATATAACGCGATTGAGCTGAGAAGAGAAGCTGCCATTTAGCTGAAACACGCTTGCAGCCTGTCATGAAAATAAGGATCTATGTTGCAGAACATTTCTGAGCTGGTAGCCCTCTTCCATAAATCCCCAAAGCACCCCCAGAAACATTGTCTTTCAAATACCTTCTGGCCAAGTAAGATTAAACATAAAAACCCCCAAATCTTGATTCTTAGGGGCAGTACAAATAAAGCTGTAAAATGCAGAAACGCTGTATCAAAATCAGGAGCCCAGCTGAATTTGAAATCACAGAGTAACCGGCCCGACAAGCAAACAAAGCACTTACACAAGCTGCATATCGCTTCGAGCATTACAGTGATATGCCCCACTCACATGATTATCAAGTGCAAATCACAGAGAGGCTGATAACTTTTCTAACTGCATAATTTGACAGTGTCCCCTACTATTTGATTAAAACTCACAGCTTAGTGTCCATAGAGGACTATAGGGTCAGCACTAGCTCATAATTACCCAGAAAGAGACTCAGCTGAAAGGAGGCTTATGTTGCTTTGTTCTGTTTTTAAAGGGCAAATGGAACAGAAGGCCAAGTGAAAATCCTTTAAAACTTATTTAATTCATTTTCCTTTTTTCTCTACAATGCTTGTGTCCCACAGAGCTAGGCAGACTCAGTATGAAAGAGAACTGCCTCCACTACAGCAAAAATGGAAAATGGCTTTTTAAAAAAAAAAGTTTTGTGTTTTAACCAGTTTAACCCATCCTCCTTCAGCTAATGAGCTTTGTGCTACACCTTAAACACGGGCACACTGTCATTAAAGTAAGTGCTTGTAAAAGTTAAAAGAGCTAAAAGAAAAATTACCTACGGATTCTTTCAGCTTCTTCCCTTGTGATTACTGCATCGGTCACACCTCTTCCACACTTTCTAGGAGTGCACCCTGGAAAACAAAGAGGAAAAGAAAAAAGAAATTATCTTTCAAACAAGGTTCAAACCAAATCTCTATTAATATCCTCCTATTCTCCTTTCAGATTCACAACATTCAGAAGGGATATTGGCAACCTCAGCATATTTTAGATCACTTAAACTACAAGTTACATCTCCATTTTGATGTGTTTTACACCACAATCAGAGAGAACACAAGCCAGCCAATGTCACTGGTGCTTCTGCATAGATTCAAGTCCCCAGGACTCACCTGAGCTACATTGCTTTCCCTGCTATGGCTGCTAAGGTGACAAGTTATTTCCTGCTATGTTGATAACGCCATTCAACAGAATGGAGATATCTAAAAGGAATGAATCTCAACACCCAAAGTAGCGCAGGCACTGGAGATGTGGCTGTCATGCATGACCCAGAGCTTCCAGCGCTTAGGTTAAGCAAAATGCACAGCGATACTGTGCTTTTAAAAACAAACTACTTTTGCTGTTGATCTGAAAACAATTCTTAGAAACCTTAAGTTTGTTACAAGTCTTTACAAGTTTGTTATGAACTTGGGATTAAAATTGACTTACTGATGTTCCTGTGCACATCTACCGCTTCAAGCTAGAGAAAGTGGCCTTTGTTTAGTAAGGTGATATCAGACACACCTGCATCTCAATGTATATGCAGCAAGACAGATAGATCCAGCGATTTTTGCCCTTCTTCTCAAGTGTAGTAGTGAAAACAAAAGTTCCTGTTTATATAACTGGTCTCTGGAAGGAAGATGATCTTAGATGATTTAATCTCACACACTCTATTCTAGCCTTTGGACAGGCAGGGCAAGAACTGGAAGGCTCAGCAGCGCCATATGGATCCTTCCATCTCAGGCTGACAGTTCCAAAATCAACCAAGATCTCTAGCAACTAAACCCCCCTAATACCACATGTCCATATACAAAACTATTACAGTCCAAGTAAGTCTTCAACTCAGACAAAGGTCCAGTACACCCCACCCTTGGGTACAATACACAAAATGAAGAGAGTTCTGTCCCAAAACCAAACAGTCTCAACAGGATAAAGAAGCTCAATTGTCCTGGAGAAAAATGAGATGCAGAAGACAAGACGTACTTGGATGCACACTGCAGTGGACGTAACGCCTGAGCACCACCATGCTAACAACAGAAAAGAGAGAACGACACTCAGACAGGAGTGAAATCACTACTTGACAAAAGAAAAACTGAAAAAATTGGTTGGAACACAAGCAGCTCAAGCCATGAGGAAGACACTACTGATAACAAGGGTTCCTGAATACATACAGGATCTTTATGTAGTATCAATACATGCTAGTTCATGCATTAACATAAAGAACTGAATTTAACTTATGTTGCGGTATTCAACCCTAAATCATGCAGTTTATTAACAGAGATTCCTGTCATCAAGCACTAAGAACCCTTGTATTTGTCCACTGGAAGTCACTGGAAAAGCAATGGTAACATAAAAAAGTAGTGAATTTGAATGTTCCAACCATACTGCCAGGAGAGTAGAAGCAGCATATTTCAGATCTGCTCAACCCCCTACCCCGCCAAACACGTGAGTTGAAAGGAAGCAAATAACATTCTCTATGGGGTGTCTATACAAATATACCTTGAAGGGCAGCTTTTCATATGAGACTTTGCACAAAAGTGTCTTGAAGCACACAGCTTGGACATATATGATAAAAAAGTCTCTTAAAATTAATCGCTAAGAAATCTAACATTTAATTTTAAAAGCTCATGGTAAAAAGCAGGCAGTAAGAGTTCCAGGTAAAAAAAAAAATACATGAAAGTTCTTATGAAATTAGAAGTCTGGTCCACAACAGTCTTCAGGCAAGAAGAAGAAATAAGATCAATTCTGAGCCACCAGAGACCTTGCGATGTCACACTTGGCACTTTACTGGGGAAGATCCATATATAAATGTAAAGCCACTGAAAAGTTGGGATGAGTATATTTTCTGACATCTGCCAATACAATTACTGTTGCTGAACTGAGCTCCTCTTCCAAGCATTATTTGCTCATCAGAATGCAAGGGAGGGAGGGAGGGAGGGAGGGAGGAAACTCCTGGAAATAAATCAATCAAGTCATCCATGCAAGTCAAAAGCATCAGTCTGCTCTGATCAAAAGCAACTAACAATAACAATGACCAAGGACTGACAGAAAGAAATTTTGCCACAGCACAAGTGCTTTGTAGGAATTTCCACTCCATCTTACTATAAAAATATACCCTGATATAGCCCTCTAATTACACCAGCGTTTCAAGGAGAGAAGCAATGAGAAAGAGATGTGTGGGTGAACAGGCCGAGCACTGACAGCAACATACCAAATTATACACACTGCTTCCCTGCTTGGGAAAACAAAAGTCCCGGGTTTGACATATGTTTAAATTGAAGTCAAAGGCACCCACACCAAGCAGACTGTCTGAACACAGATCAAGGTCAGGAAACCAACTGGGTTACAACCCGGATAATTCATTGCATTTCTGACTACCCAGCAACAATTCACTGAAGTCAGCTCAAGATTCAGATTCCAGGAGGTGCACACTAAGTTATTTGAAGATGACCTAGGAAACTAGCAGCCTAAAATAATGCTAGAGATTACATTCTTAAGCATTCATTTATCAATGCCAGATCCCAGCAGTGTGACAAGAATGAGCCAGAACCACTGCTCCCCCAGCTCACTTTTCTCCTCTTGACCCTGCGAGCTAAAATGAGGAGAATCAAAACATACCATTCATCAGAAATTGTAGTGCCTTGATATAAAAAAAAAAAGCACCATAAAGATTAAAAATTCCGGCAGCAACTCAAAGGTGCTTTACATATTAAAGAACAACACTTTGTAATGCAGCACCAGGCCCAAACGTACAGAATTCAAACCAACAAAAACGCGCAAGGGCTTTATAGGCAGAAAGTTGTTCTAAGTTACAAATTTGGGAGGGGAGGGAGTGGAGAGAGGGGGAGCTTCTGTGCCATGTTTCAGGCACATTGTAAACATCCCCTCTGCAACCAGAAAGGCTAGGCACAGTTTCTGTGGCGATTCTTGCATTTCTCAATCTCAGTTCCAGGAGCCACCACTGTGCAAGTTAAACACCACAGGTCTTGCAATAAAAATGCAAGCATTGGAAATGCTATATTCCTTTGGAGCATTCAACCTAGCAGTTCTGAAAAGCAACGCTGCATACTATTTCTTGTCTGCTCTAACAAAAACTTATACATTTTATGTTGCTGTACCTTAAAGGCTCCATCGTACATTCAGCAGTGCCAGATTAAAATCAGCTATTCACTTTTGAATGCCAGGCTGAAGAGCATCTCAAAAGCCAGTCAACAGGGATGAGACGTCTCTGTCTCCAGGCTAGCAAATACTCACCCAAAGGGTGAGACAGATGGCTGAGGCAGTAACAGCTTCCAGCACCCAATTTTAAACTTGGATGCATATAAAAAAAGAGCCAAAGAGGAACCAATTCAGGTTTCCAGAACTGGAAAAAACCTAACTAAACATTTCATTAGTAAGCACAAGATCCACTCAAAGATTTGCAGAACAATAATCATCAAACAGAAATCACATCACATACTCCACGCTGTGTCCAATGTTCTGTTGGGTATAAAGAAGTCAACAATGTTATAAAGCACAAGTTTGGATATTGGCAGTACACTTTTTTGTAGTCCTGTTAAAAAACAAGATTAAAAAAAGGCTGAGGTAACAGGCTGATAGAAAAAATGAGATTTTTAAAGAGTTTGGAGAAAGCTGAACACAGCAAAATAAGGACGCTCTCTTGGCTAATAGAGACAAGAATAGGGGAATGACTTTCCTTCTGCCATGGAAAAGGTCTCTCTAATGCTTGAAAGGCAAAGAAAATTGTCTTAGAGATGAGGGAAAGCTGATATTCAAGGCGAGAAGAGGTGGGAAACCAGGACAAACCTGTCTAAATAGAGTTTTCTTCGTACGACATTCTGCAAAAAAGGACGCTAGCAAAAACTTCTCATTTCAGAAGAGATTTGTGCTCTATTTCCAGCTGCAAACAACAGCACAGATCTTACCCTTTTGGAAGGGTTGGTACTGGAGAGTCCACATTTGGCAAAACTACAGCATTACTTTGGGCGATTGTTATGTGCCTGGGGTCTCTGACAAAGAACTGGCAAAGACAGTACTGGAAGCAGGAGGTGTTCTGAAGGCAACAGCAGAACCTTTTCCAAACCGAGAAGAAAAACAAGAAAAAGACAGTCCAGCGTAAAGTCAGACAGGTACCAACAGTAAGGCACAAACCCACTGGCTGAATGCTAAGGAAAAAATCAGAACAGTCTCTTTGAAAACAATTTTAGCATTAAGAAATGTGTCATCTTTATCTGAGAGACCATGGTACACGGGAGCACTGAAGTGTTAAAAGCATACTTGGAGAATCTGCACTCAGGAGAAATTCAGTTTAGTATTACAAAGTACCCGGTAACTTCCACAAATTTGTGCCTAGTAGACACAAAATCATTCACTTATTAGATAAGGCACTCTGCTTTGGATCCAAGAGTTTTTTCAACCAAGGCAAAGGAGGAGCATACCAAAGCATGCAAAAACACAAGTACTCCCTATGGTCCCTGCTCCTATTCCGCACAGAGAAAACAGAATGTAACGCTGGGGTCCAAATGCCTGCACTGCAGCTTTGTCTTCTACTTAAAGTGGTACTTGCCCAAGCACCATACACTGCCAAGACTGGGATGGTTCACAGGAGAAAAAAAGCCCCATCATGATGCTCCCCTAATGCAATCCATCACAAAGCAGGACAGGAGGAGGCAAAAATTTATTGGATGCCATCCCCATAACCACAGCAGCAGTCTAGGTGCTAGACCTTTTCCTCTACTGCTCCCAGGCTTCTTTGCTTTCCACATCCACTGATCTAGTCTCTGGAAAAGCATCTTAAAGCTGTCTCCTGGGCAGTGATCATGGATGCTTTGTACACTGACACAATATGTCAACACACATAAGATACTACACATGAGTTTCATCAGACACACTAGTAGCCACATTAGTTTTAAGTAGTTAACCGTGTTTCAAGACAGCAGAAATAGCCAAGGTCTGGCCACGGGATTGAGAACACAGATGAGACTGTGCTCACAGAATACCCTATCTTCTGTAAGTATAATAAGTTAAGTGCTTGGCCTCTGAAAAATAACACATTTTATTTCTGTATGAAGCAGGTTTACTGGCAGGCAGTGCTATGGAAATAAAACCACTGCTCTGTCACACCAACTACCATATCATTTGAAGCAAACTAGAAGCTCAGCTGCACTAGTTCAGTTTGAAGCAGGGCCAGGTGCATAAATAAAAAGCTCATCTTAGCTGTGGAAACTTTACAGCCAAGCATCAGACACCAAGTGATGATAGGAATGTGCTTCCTTCTGACACAGAGCCAGCAGCTGTGGATGTCAAGCTAGAGTAGAGATAGAGAATGAAAAGCTATTGAGTGACAGAAAGCTATTTCCAGCGAAGTGACTAAAGCTCCGGGGCTGAATCCAGTTTGGCAGAGAACCATAATCCGCATTTACTGCCTCACTAAGCTGTCCGTAACGCGCCCACGGGGCGAGGCGCCAGCTTTGGTGGCACAGCAAGGCTCGACAGCTCACCACCACCCTCTCGCGGGCACCCAGCAGGAGACAAGAGTTAAACAACGAGCAAAGTTCATTACCGCAGCACAGCTTCAATTAAGCACTTAACAAAACAGATGTTCACACATTTCTAATACCACTGATCTCTTTCTGAAAGCATAATACAGGTAACACATGTAAAAACACCTGCTAAAAACCAAAATCAATCACAGAAGTTAAGAAGCAGCAGCAAGCAAACATCTAATTAGAACGCCAGAATACAAACTGGCACAAGATGACGCCCTTTGCTCCTCCTGGGTTGATACCAGCCATGTCAATCATTCTCATACAAAGCCAGGAGAGGTCACACTTCACCCTGCAGTTAGCATTTGCAGAGCTTGCTCCCCGTGACACCACGAGAGTAGAGAACACATTCATTCCTCTTCCTGGGCAGAGATATCCTTGAAGTTCCTGCCTTCCTTATGATGGAAAGAATAACTGATGGGGTTGCCAAGACCACAGGTCCACAGCTCAGAAAATTCCCCTTGCAAACCAGAGAAGGGCAAAATAAGGCTTTGTTGGTTTTGAGGGTTCCTTTTAATAAGCAAAAGCCCTAGTAGCAGAATGCAGACCGTTTTAGCCTTAGTTCTGTCATAACTACCAAATCTGTGGCAACACTGGCTGCAGTTTTCTCTGGCCTTGGCACTATGCAAATAAAGCCAGAAGCAGCTTCTCCTTGTAGTAACTACAAAAAGTTAAAACAGAACATATGTTTTCATGTGCTCAGTCAAAAAAATCCCCCTACTGAGGAAGTTTTCCGGCTAGTAGCTTCCCAACAGCAGTTTTCTTGGCCTCAGTAACATTTGGGATGAATCCTTCAAAACCCCATCAAACAAGATGCTGCAATAGCAGCACTGAGAAAAGACTATCTGACCACAGGCTACACAAATTTTTGTTTTATATTACAAGCCTTTTGACAAACAGCACCAGGACCAGCCACCTGAACAGGGCAGGGGAAATACCTCCACATCTTTGGGGCACCATATCCAGGCTGCAGTTTAATGACCACTTTCTACCAGAATTCGCACTGGAAAAAAAATTAGAAACTGTAGAATCTCGGAACAGCCCAGGCTGGAAGGGACCTCAAAAGATCACTTGGTCCAGCCTGTCATGGGAAAGGGAGCCTAGATGAGATTATCCAACACCCCATCCAATCGCATCTCGAAAACCTCCAGTCATAGGGGCTCTACTCCATCCCTGGGGAGGTTGTTCCAGTGATTGGCTGGTCTCTCTGTAAAAAAAAGAATTCTTTCTTCTAACAAGATGAAACCTTGCCCAGTGCAACTTGTACCCATTGCCCCTCGTCTTCTCCATGTGGCTCCTTGTGAAGGGAGAGCCTTCCTCCTCTTTGTAGCTGCCCTTTAAGTACTGGAATACTGCAATGTGGTCCCCCCAAGCCTTCTCTTCTCCAGGAGAAGAGACTTAAGTCCTTCAGTCTTTCCTCGTAGGGCAAGTTCTCCAGCCTTTTGATCACCTTTGCTCCTCCTCAGCTCCAAGCAGCTTCCTCCAGCCTCCACACTGCCTCTGGCTTTATGTCAGCAAGTGTTTTGTCAGCCACAAGACAAACCAGATAAGACAACTGATTTGGCTAAAAACTAACTCAGAATTTTTTTTTTTTTTAGATGCAATAGCTTATCAGTCAACACACTGCTAGACATACAAGTAGGCTGACAAAAAGCAAGAGCAGAGCTGCTCTCTGGCAGCAGTACCAGCTCAAAACGTTCATCAAGATACACTTTGCACATCTGAAAGAACATCAGCATAGCTTATCCATGCACACTGCAATTTTCTCACTGCTCTTCATCAGAGAAGATGAAAATCTTCCATTTTTCTAGAAGATCCAACATCAACACTCCAAAGAAATAAGCACCAGGGTAGACATATACCAATTTGACAGAAAACAGGCTCAGCTGAAACACATAAAGACAGAGAAGAAATGCTTTGCAGGCAGCATCAAAAGCTGCCTGCACACACACATCAAAACAGCAGTATCAGAAGCTGGCATTTGTGCCATTACCGCATGCTACCGGCACAGACAATATCCTAAATCAGTTCCATTCCATACCCTGTATGGTATTTACCAGTAACAAACTCACCACAGAAGTCAAGAGTATGAAAAGACACTAGAAACAGATTTAGCAAAAGGTTTATTTCACACAGCCTAAGCAAAGCCATTTCAGAAGAGAATTATGTAGGAATGACAGAAAAACCTCGCAGACACAACAATTTCTGGGCTGGCCCAAGAGTCACAAATATTTGGGGATTTAAACAATATACACAGTGACCAGGTGTCTGCTAGAAACACAGGAGTTTTGCAGAATGCATTAGGTTTAATGGACAGGCAGCAGCCAGCCTGTTACAGTTCTTTGAAGACTGCTTCATCCCACTTCAGACAATCCTACCCAAATACCTTCAAATCTTTTGTGGCTGTCGTAGTCCTCAGAGCAGGGGATCTCAACGAACTTGTCCTGCAGGCTCTCGCTGTGATGAGCCAGCACCTCCGTCACCCCATCCTCGGCGCTCAGGTAGCTCCAGCTCAGGAGGCCTCCGAGGGCAGCAGCCGAGAGGAGGAACGCTGCCTTCAGCCACCTCCACCGTGACTCTTGCTGGCCTCTGCTCTTCTTGGCACTACGGAGGGAGCACAGCGACAGCCCCAGGTAAGCGGAGGACAGGCTCCCGCGCCAGTGGGGGGCCGCTACCCCGCCCGGTACCGGGCAGAGCCGCTCAAGGGCCAGGGCCGGTACCCCACGTCTTGAGTATGCACGTACAGGTTTATAAACACACACAATTTTTATCCCTCTTTCATTGGAAGTTACAGTCCGCCTCCCGACAGGAGCTCCCACAGCGCTGCCGCAGGCCGCT